GTTCTTGGTGTGAACGGGGCTTAAGGGGGATAGGATTCTATGCGACACTCGCATTTGTGGGTGGATTTTTGCAAGTAAAGGTGAAACGTAAAAATACTAACAATAATATTGGCAGATACAAACCAAACACTCTCCCAGTCTGCAATTGGTCAACAAACAAATAGACCCGCCCCCAAACTCATGCCATTGGTTGAGCCACTGTTACTATGTCAGGCTGGTCAGAGCATTGGTTTGATAGACTGATAGTGTGTTTAAGCTTTTCGGGGGATTCAATTTACAAATGGCTTACTTAGTTTCTTCGAATTAAGCTGACAGTGAAAAATATTCAAATACTGAAAACAAAACTATACACTTCACCTTTAAACAGGTAGAATATCTTTTCAGTGCAAACGTTCATCTCAATAAAAATGTGCTTAATTGTATATTTTCAGAAACATTCGGTGAGCTGAAATTTCATTTTTAATATCTGAAAATAGAGACAGTGTGTAGAATAGATACTTGCCATCAAGGGACCAGTTCAGTCGTTGTGTCTGGATGTGTTTTAAACAAAGTTGAACGGAAAAATGCTTCTTAACTACTGTGCTGTGAATATGCTTTGACCTTTGAACTGTTCTCGACTGCTTGCTCTCTCGCTGTGATTCTTGCGTTCAGACCTTTAACTCGTTTTCTCTTGCAACATTCGGTACAATCTGTTTTCACACTGTTAGATGACATTCTGTGTTTGGAGACATTCTTGTATTGTTTGTACGACAGAAATCTATAAAAAGAAGCTTGTCTTTTGAAACACTGACAAACAATAAAACGGACAAAATCTTGAGCTCATATTTCTGCTCTGCTCTTTCTCTCTTACGACACGCTCTGCATCAGTCTGCGATTCCTGAGCAACAGCGGTGTTTGTTTAAGGAATTACGAAGACTTTTGCAGACAGTCAATTGTGGGGGTGGGGTTTTTCACCATTAATGCAGTTGATTTCTGTGTTTTTATTGTAATTTATAGTGTGATGTAGGGCTGCACGATTAATCGAATGCGATTGTCATGCGCATTT